TTAAAAAATTAAAAGAGAAGTAAAGAGAAGAGTAAGAGGCACACCGAATTTTACCCTGGTTCACCACAACTTGTGGCTAATCCAGCCTCCCGAGAGACTCTCTCGAGCTACACTACTATCTCGTTAAGCTTGCGGGTGCTTAACAAACCGTTACAACTTGAGAGTTCGAGTTACACGAACCTCAACGAGTCCTTCAAAGGAAACAACCCTTCCTTTGAATCTACCGAGAGAAATACTTTCTCTCAAAGTGTCTAGGAACACAAATACACTCAAGAACGAGGCTCTCTTATAGAGTAGATTATGAGTAAACTAAGTACGCTCAAGAACACAACACAAGCTTCACAAAAATGGCTCTCAAAAAGCTATGAATAAAGAATGAGTGATTTGCAATGAAGGAGTAGGAGTTGTGAAGTCAATGTGATGTTTAAAACAGACCCAAACACCCCATTTTATAGTTGAAAAATAGGCTCCAACGGACCAAAACATTTAAGGAGTGATTTTCACAATTTGTGGGATTTGTTTAAATTTGGATCTGCTGAAATTCACCCAGACAGCGCTGTCCTAGGCTTGGACATCGCTGTTCTAGGCTTGCGTTTTGAAAATTGGGAAGCAACGGTCATGCCAACATCGATGTCCAGTACTTCTACATCGCTGTTTTGGCTGTTGACTTCCAAACAAGGAAAGTTTTAGCCTTAAATTCCTTCCAACGGTCAGGTCCTTACATCGTTGTTCAATACTTGAACATCGCTGTTTAGGTCTGACTTTGAAGGTGGAGTTTTGCCTGACAGCGCTGTTGCTGGGTCAACATCGCTGTCCTGAAACTTTCTGCCAATGCACTATATTTTTGGCTTAGGTTGGACAGCGCTGTAGGGAAGCCTACATCGCTGTTCCAGAAGTTTGTGGAAATCCAACCTTGGCTCAACAGCGATGTCTAGTGTGCAACATCGCTGTTGGAAGACTTAACGCCAAACCATGGTTTTCAGCTACTCAAGCCAGACAGCGCTGTTGGGTGCACCAACATCGCTGTTGGGCTGGTTTAGCCAGACCCATGGTTGGTTTAGTCATGCCGTTAGCCGATGTCAAAAACGTAAGTTCTCCAAAATAAAAACTAAGTGTTGAAAACATTTGTTTATTGCATTTTGCTAAGAAATCAAGTAAAATAACTTAAAAACCACGTCATTTAGTTGAAAACCAGGGCTAACCAAGTTCGTGTCATTTTGCATGGTTTTCACTAAACGACCATAAACGGAAGGTGGTTTTTGAAGCGTTTTTGTTGGAGAACTGCTTAAATATGCCCAGAAGTAAAAACCAATCATAAAAAGTAAAAAACCACTTGGTTGGTTCGGATGCCCAAAAACCAATGCCAAAAACCGAAAGCCGAACGCCGGTTTCTGAAAGCCGAACGCCGGATGACTTGGTTTTTGGTTTGGGCGAACTCCAATTGTTTTTAGCCAGGTTTTAAAACTTGTGAAAAACATTTTTGAATTTGCAAAAAGGGTTTTGATGAATTGAGCCTAGAGAGCCAAGATTTGGAAGTTTGTGCCGGTCTTGATCACATTAAGACCGACTCGACGCAATTCTAATTCTTTGTTCTTGATTCTTGGTTCTTGGTTCACATGTCATCATGCCGTGTTTCTTCGCCTTGGTTTTGCTCACTTTAGTCTTGTCGTGTCACGGCGGTTTGGCATTATCAAAACCTGTCATAAAAACGAACACAATTTAGTACGACGTAGGCGTAAACCCGTGTTCCAACACTATATAATTTAATTGAAGTTCAGTACCTAAAAATGGTATTCCCGAAAAATGGATCGAAGGTTGAAGAAGATGAACAGTGATCATTATGTGATTATAAAAATGATTTTTCACAATAAAAATGATATTTTTAACAAATTAAAACATTATGTTATGCATGACAGTAAGTTCGAGTGTTAACACTCGAGACTAGGCCGCTATTTGTTATTAAATGTTATGTTGAATGATCATTATGGTGAATAGTTATTATGGATAATTATAAATGATAAACTTACTGATTAGAATGATTATTGATGATTAAATCATGATTAAAAATGAATATAATGGTGATCATGAAAACGGTGTATATTATTAAGGATATTTAGAAGAACTCTAAGATATACCCACTTGTATAATGATGATTATTATTAAGGATATCTAGAAGAACTCTAAGATATATCTCCTTGACCAATTCATAATTCGGGGTTAAAACGTACATACGGGATCCAGAACGGGCCACCCGACAGATCACTGTTCGGTTGGTACGTAATCCACGTGACTCATAGGGTGGATGAATTGATTCTTGTGTTTTGCCTTAGACTAATTATAGTTTAAGAGCCTGGTTAGAAATATTGGCTTAGAGTAAGAATAGCTAAGAGCTTATTATAAACTGATTTGGCCTTAGATTAAGAAGAAATTAAGAGCATAGTTGAGATATTGATTATCGAAATGACTTGGAATAAAGTATTGAGAATATCATGAAATCTTGAATATATTTCTGTGCATGATATCAAATGGTTAATTATGAATTGAGATTCAATTTCTCTGGATGTTCGACGCTTTAGATATGCTTACTCAGCTTCACCGCTGAGCGTGTAGTGTGTTTTATTTGCTACACGCAGGTAGGCAGAATGAATGATTGGCATATTCTTAGAAGCAAAAGGGGCGAGATAGTCGTGTTAGATTTATTGACAAAATAAATAATTATTTTTGTTATGAGACATGTTTAAAAGTCGCTTCCGCATTACTATTAAACACTCCGTAGTTTCTACAGTTATGTATGAAATTTTATTTATGATGAATAAAGTTATTTGAAATGTTTAAATTATACGATTATCAAGTTAATACTTTAGTCCGAAAGGGGCTGCAGACCTGGACGGATTAGGGTGTTACAATGCAATACACATAGCGGCCTAGTGCCAGGTTCAAACACCTTCTACTTACCGTCATACAACACATAAGGTCTCAGAATCAATCTGTGACTTGAATTGGAACAAACTAACAAATAATGGGTTGGGTACTGTTCGGTAAGGTGCCTTG